AGGAACTGAGGCTCCAGGGGTTTAAGCAAGTTGATTAAGTCACATTTTGGAAGAAGCAGGACTAGAATCAAGTGCCAGCCTGGAGGTCTTACCTTTAAGGGGTTCATCCTGATAGAGACAGGTCATTCGCCATCACCCTAACCTTGACCATGTTCTGTCTCTTTTCCACAGGTTTTCCACTAAGTACTGGATGTCTCAGACGTGCACAGTTTGTGGGAAAGGAATGCTTTTTGGCCTCAAGTGTAAAAATTGCAAGTAAGTGGCTGTACCTGGAAGCGTCTTCTCACGGTGCCTGGTGTCAGCTAGTGCTTCATTGGGCCCTGAAATGGCTGATGGGAGTTTGGTTTCTTGACTTTCATTTGAGTTGCTTGTTCCATTTTTCGGAAATTGATGTTAAATGATCCTGTATATTTGGGGAAGAGCTCAAGGGGAGCAGTTATGAAAGAGAGCCCAAGCTGATGGGCAGTGCTAGAAATGAACGCATAGTGCTGTCTGCTGAGGCACGGAGCACCTTGCATCTTCATAGCATCAAAGATAAGGGTTGGCAAACTTTTTCCAGAACTGATCAGATAGTAAATATTCTAGGCTTTGCGTCTAGGCCATAGTGTCTCTGTTTCAACTATTTGGCTCTGCCATGTAGCTCAAAAGCAGCCAGAGACAATACCCAAATGAGCATGACACATTTATATATTTCCATAGAACCTTATTTGCATAAATATTCTGCCAGCTGGCTTGGGCCCTCTTGGCTGTAGTTTGCCAATCCCCGAGTTAGACTTTGTGAAATCTTTTTCTTCTTTATTGTTTCTCCTCTGAGCCGGGACGGGGGGTGATGATTCTGCCCATTTTGCAGATGTGAAAACTGAGTCTTGGCAAGGATAAATCTCCTGCCTGAAGTCACACAGCCAGGAAGTGGCAGTCAGGACTTAAACCCTGGCCCCTAACTTTTTTGTGGCATCACGTTGGTCCCCAGTTCTCCCCCCACCCCACGTCCACACATATGTTCCAGGCCATGGCTGGCCCAAGGTGGGGAGGCTGTAGAAAAACTATGGTGGCCAATGTGGGCTCTTGAGTCAGACTAAGATGGGCTCACATTCCGGCTCTCTTGCTTTCTATCGGCATAATCTTGGGCAAGTCACCTCACATTCCTGTTCCTAGTGTTCTCATCTACATGACAGGAGTAGTCATCATACCTGCCTAATGTGGCAATGAGCATTCAAGAAATCAGCACTGAAGACACAGCCTGGTGCGGGGGCAGGCTCAGACTTCTGTCCTCTGTCACAGGTCACACCTGCCTCTCTGCCTGGCCTCCCTCTCTCCTGTAAACGTGTATCAAGAACCCACTCTGGTCCAGTGACTGTAAAATAGTCAATAACGTTCAGCTATAGCAAAGAGTTACAGATGAATGTACATCTGACTGCTGCTGGGAGCCACTTAGATTAAAAGATGGCAGGAAACTGCCTGACTGGCATAACTCAGTGGTTGAGTGTGGACCTATAAACCAGGTAGGTGGTCACTGTTCAATTCCCGGTCAGGGCACATGCCCGGGTTGCTGGCTCGATTCCCAGGGTGGGGCGTGCAGGAGACAGCTGATCAATGATTCTCTCTCATCATTGATGTTTCTATCTCTCTCCCTCTCCCTTCCTCTCTGAAATCATAAAGACTGTGTGTGTGTGTGTGTGTGTCCTATCTAATAAAAGAGAAACATGGTAATTAGCCGTACATCCGCTACCCTTCCCATTGGCTAATCAGGGTGATATGCAAATTAACTGCCAGCCAAGATGGCGGCTGGCAGCCGTGCACTGAAGCGAACAGAGAGGCTTGCTTGCTCCAGTGACTGCGGACTCCAACGTTCCCCTCCTGACTTTCCGGCCTCTCAGCTGCAACTCTAAGCAACTATGTTGCAAATATAGAAGCTAAACAAAACCCCAGAAACCTGCGTTAGTCAGCCGGGCTTCAGCCAGCCGGACCGCAACATTGTATCAAATACAGAAGGTAAACAAAGGCCAGAAACCTGCTTTCAGCAGCCGAGGCCTCAGAGCTAAAGCTGGCCCAGAATAAAAAAGAAAAAAGAAAAAAGGAGCAGTTGGGAGCTTCAGTCACCCGCCAGCCTGAAAACGGCCCTCAGCCCCTCAGCCAGACTGGCCAGGCACCCCAGTGGGGACCCCCACCCTGATCCAGGACACCCTTCAGGGCAAACCAGCCGGCCCCCACCCGTGCACCAGGCCTCTATCCTATATAGTAAAAGGGTAATATGCACCGGGATCAGTGGAGCAGCGAGGCCTCCCGGCACCGGGATCAGCGTGACAGGGGGCAGCGACCAAGGCCCCTGATCACCCTGCGGCTCTGTGTGTGACAGGGGGCGGGGCCACAACCTCCCTATCCGCCCTGCTCTGTTCGTGACAGGGGAAGGCGCCCCAATCCCCTGATCAGCCCTGCTCTGTGTGTAACAGGGTGGAGCCGCAACCCCCTGATCTGCCCTGCTCTGTGGGTAATAGAGGGCGGTGCCCCAACCCCCGCCCCCCACGGGCCCTGCTCTGTGTGTGACGGGGTAGAGCCATAACCTCCCCATCGGCCATGCCCTGAGTGTGACAGTGGCAGCACCCCAACCCCCTGATCCACCCTGCTCAGGGGGCGGTGCCCCAACTCCCCTATCGGCCCTACTCTGTGAGTGACAGGGGGGAGCTCCTCAACACCCTGATGGGCCCTACTCTGTGTGTGACAGGGTACGGAGCCCCAACCCCCCTGATGGGCCCTGCTCTGTGCATGACAGGGGGCAACGCCCCAACCCCCTGATCAGCCCTACTCTGTGCATGACAGGGGGGAGCTCCCCAACCCCCTGATGGGCCCTGCTCTGTGTGTGACAGGGGGGAGGTCCCCAACCCCCTGATCGGCCCTGCTCTGTGCGTGACAGGGTACGGAGCCCCAACCCCCTGATGGGCCCTGCTCTGTGCATGACAGGGGTGGCGCCGCAACTTCCCTATCGACCCTGCCTTGAGTGTGACAGGGGGCGGTGCCCCAACCCCCCAATCCGCCCTACCCTGAGCGTGACTGGGGGTGGCATCGCAACCTCCCGATCCACCCTGCTCTGTGCATGACAAGAGGCAGCGCCCCAACTCCCCAATCAGCCCTGCTCTGAGCCCGACCAGGGGCTGCACCTAGGGATTGGGCCTGCCCTCTGCCACCCGGGAGCAGGCCTAGGCCAGGAGGTCATTATCTCCTGAGTGGTCCCAGACTGCGAGAGGGCACAGGATGGGCTGAGGGACCCCCTCTCCCCCCCGAGTGCACAAATTATAATATTTTAATATATATATTTTATTTTCTTTATTTTCTTTTATTTTCTTTATTTTCTTTTATTTTCTTTTAATTTATATATATATATATATATAAATTAAAAGAAAATAAAAAAAGATGGCAGGAAACCTTCTTCCTCTGTAGCCTTGTCTGTCCCACACTCTCATTTGGGCTCCTGCAGGCCCCCACCCCCAGCCCTGCCCGGTGATGGAGGTGGGCTGGCACAGGGGTGAGGGCTCCCTCTTCCCGCCAGCCTGCAGGTCTCACCTGAGTGACGAAGGGAAGGCTCCCTTCCCCTGTGGGAAGGATTAGGTAGTTCCAGCCCCTAAGGAGCCTGCAGCTCCATGGACACAGGGAAGACAGACAGGACAGTAATTACCAAGCATTTGTGTTGGGAGACCCCCTGCCCACCTTGGTCCTCCACAGACCCAGGCTCTCAGGTGAGCCCCGAAGATGGCGGCCCCTGGTCTTTCCCAAGAGGCACAAGGCCAGGCCTGGGGTCCAACCGGAAAGCTGTCTGATTTCCCCCGAACACCAGCTGCTCCCGGGCCGTGCGCAGTCACACCGTGTTCTGTGGGGGACAAGGCAGCTTTCACAGCCTCACAGCTGCGGTGTGGAGGCTTTGAAGGCAGGTAATTAGGTGACAGGGACACAGCCAGGAGTCGGCCAGGCTGAGGCTTCCTGAGCCGTTTAATTTTCGGCACTGGATGCAGAACTCAGAGGCGTCCTGTGCTTCTGTCCTCTGTTCTGGAAGTAATGAGCAAAGGCTTGGAGCCTGCCAAGGGTTGGGGTGGGGGGGACTGGGGGAAGTATGAGGACCTGGGGGAGGGCTGGCTGCTAGAAGCACAGACTTTATTGACTAGGACCGAGTCTGAGTCCCAGCTCCATCGCCCAACTCCCTGTGTGAGCCTGAGCAAGACGCTTGCCGTCTGGGAGCTTAGTTTCCTTAGCTGTAAAGTGGGTGCACTAGGAGCACCCGCCACAGGACTGGTGGAAGGAGTCAGTGACATGTCCTTGCCCCCAGGTTACAAGGTTCTATTACAGAACTTTCTCCTCACTCACCTTCTGCAAAAGTGACTCCTGGTGTGAACATGGCAGAATTCAAGCCACGCCATGCTCCAGTGTGCCATGGGCACCAGTTTGCTGAGCCCTTAGAAATCCTGCCACAGTGGGAAGCAGACATGTGGCTGCTGCGGGGCCCGGCACGCTCGGGAATTCTGACGTGTCCCTGCGTAACTGCAGCAGGGTGAGCGTGCTCCAGGTTGGAGCGGTGAGCCCGCACCACAGGCCTCGCCAGTTAAATTTACATGTATTCTTCTGTGAATAGAACCCTCCGCTTTTGCATTAAGAACAGCGAGGATGGACGGTCATTGGTATTTGTTTTCAAAGGTAGCGACATTTTGGACGCACTTATGGGCAAGGTAGAAGGGTTGGATGAGGGACAGAGACAGGTAGCACACAGACCCCACTGTCCAGGAGTTTAGGGGAGACACAGCTGTTGAGAAATGAATTTCAGTGAAACAGACGTGCACGATAAAGACAGTGATGGGGAATTTCAGAGAGGTGGCACCGAGACTGGCGGTGGGGGGGGGGGGCAGTGGGGTTAGAAAAAATGGGCAGAACCATTTGTTCATTTACTCATGAGATCTTTATTATTTTTGAAATCTGAGATAATAAGGTAAAATGCTCAGCCTAGTACTTGGCCCATGATAAGACCTTAATAAACAAAAGTGAATACATTAGTTTTGGGGTACCCCTCCACCCAGGAAGCCAGGAGACTCCAGAGTGTCTCACCCCCTTCCCTCCTGCTCCTGTGTCACGCCCACTTCCTCCGGAATTATCATCAGCTGTCTTGTTGGCGTTCTGAATAGAGAGATTAATGAAGTAATAGGAAATTATGCTCAGAAAGCAATTTGCAGTTATCTAAATCGAGGCGTTTTCATCAAATAGGTTCATGAGCGCGG